CCCGACAATTTATAATCAGTGATGAAAGGTAAAGGAATGGTTGTAAGTAAAAGTTAAGAGAAGGCTAACAAAAATTCTAACACTTCAGTAGTTATAGGGAAAGGTCAAAGAAAATGTAAAATGTCAAATAATGATGGGAATACTATTAAAATAACTCTTATTGTCATATAGTTTTTCTTCCTCTTCAAGTTCTAAATCTGAAACAGACATCAGTGATTATAGTTCAATACTTATTTCTCTGCTGGGAAGTTTCAAAAAGGTACTTTTCTCTTCCCTTTATCCAACTTCACAGATTTTCTGAGTAAATTATTCTGGCTCTTCCTCTACTAAAACTAAACTCAAAACTACCTCAGCCTCTTCTGCCTTACAAACACATAATATGTACATAGGGGTACAAGAACTGCTAGAGAAAGAAGGTGAAATAAGGTGATGCAGTTGAACATCCAATTCAAAACTAATGAAAAACTACTCACATCCATGTAGAGAAGGTTTGGGTCTGTGATCAGCTCACACGCGATGCTTGCTCTCTTCTTTTCTCCGCCTGACAGACCACGGGCCCAGGCATCACCCATTACTGTTGACACATCAGACGAGAGACGGAGTTTTACACAACATAGCAAGACACATTCATGTAGTTTATAATGCAAAGTAAGAGACACTGCACAACCTCAAACTGCTGTCTCCTTAGTCTATTCTTTCTTTATGTTCTTTGCAGTCCATCCATTCCTTCTTTCTCTTTGATGTGTTTTAAAAATGTTAACTATTGTATTGACGTGGTCCATCAAAACTCAATCATTGTTATTCTCACGGTTTTACAGAAACTCAAATGTGTTATTATAATAATAGTTTAAAATGCAGGGAAATGAATTTCCAATCTGAATGTCAAAGAAAAAAGTAATGTAATATAATGAGTTTTAAAAACATTGGTGGTTTGGATGAGTATGAAGACACTGAAGTGGAATAGATTAGGAATTTGTCAAGCTGAAATAAGATATAATAATTAATATACATCTCCCAACCATAAGGCATGGGTCATCCAAGCCCTAAAAATTCAGTTCATGGTAGGGAATGAGTTCAGAGTTGATAGGTCTATCTCGTCACACGATGTCATGTCATGTACTGACTTGTGTCCAGACATTTGCGCAGGTCCAGAGCGTCAATGACTTCCTCCAGTCTGTCCATCTTGTCTTGTCTTGGCATTTTGTCAGGCAGACGAATCATGGCAGTGAACTGGGAAACACAGACACAATCCATATGGATGGTTTATGCTCAAAACATGTTAATGATTTCTTCAACTTTTTTCAATACGTGCACACACTCACACACATACACTCACACACACATATATATATACACACACACAAACACACAGGCATACACACACAGGCACACTCATACATGAGCATGCACGCTTGCAAACACACACACATACACACACACATAACATATACACACACACAAACACACATGTACACGGGCATACACACACAAGCACACACACACACACACATACACACACACACACACACACACACACACACACACACACACACACACAGAGGATTTATTCCTTCCACTTACACTGCTTGAGCATTTTTTAAAAATTGTTTGTCTGAGATGAGTAGAACCAAAGAAATATTACTCATCTAGAGCCATGAAAAATAAAAGTGGTGACAACAACCTGAAAATATTAGAAGGAAAGAAAGTGTAGGCTGACCATACAAACTAATGTCTCCCTCTTACCATTAGTGGAGCAAAGCTTGCAGATGATCTCATTTTGCTGTGTTATGACAAGAATCTTTGTACCAGTACTAACAGCTTTAAAAAACCCAACTAATTGGTCGCTTTAAAGTACAAGGGGGCTATCCCGAAAAATGTTGTTTTTGAGAAAATCGAAGGTTAAGTCTTTGCCCCTTGTTCAGTTTCTTTTAGAGACAAGGAGAGTTTTCTCTATAACCAAATAATTATACACACCAATGAAACCAAACTTCTTCTACAGGTAAGGTAATGCCCACTTTTGGTGTAAGTCATGATTTCTAGAAACCCCCAAAATCTGGGCTAGCCGGCTTGTCCTTAAAAGCGCCCAATTATCATATTATTAACGGGTAGGATGATGGGTAGGTAAGCAGTCACATACACATTCATGACAAGTCAGTGTTCCCAGAGAGTTTTTGTGGGAAAAGAAAAACACATAAACACACACACACACACACATACACACACACACACACACATGCACCTGCAAACACACACCCCCACACCCCCCGCCCCACACACACACGGCCTACATTGCACACGCACTCAATTATTCACACACTTATACACACACTGACCACAAGAGTTTCCCTGAGAGTTAGATTGGGAAAGAAGATATCTTCTTGCAGGACATAGGAGATTTGTCTCTTCAAATCTTTGCTCAGTGTGGCGCCATTCAGCGTGATTCTCCCATCATCGGTCATCTGTCGGCCTGCCAGTGTGTTCAGCAACGTCGTTTTACCTCCACCTGGAAGCAGAAAGAAAGGGAAACTCTTTTTTGTTTTAGTAGAGGTTTTACGGCGCTCGCAACAGCATAAGGTCATATGAGCGCCAGAAGATTAGAGGTACATGTTACAAGAGAATAGCAAACATAAAAAAGAAGAAGGGGAGATAAGGACGATAGATGTTTCATAGGAAAGAAGAAGCAAATCACACCAGAGCATCCGCCAACCACCCACAGGGAAACTCTGTTACTGGACTGGACAAAAGGATGTCTATTTTATCACAAAACGTGAAGCTGAAATACGGGACTGAATCTCAAGGAAAATCAGATTTTAAAAAAAATGCAAATATATTACCTATTTAATAAAAAGTAGGTATACCTTGACTTGACTTTTCATCAGTTATCTTCTATGTTACTTATTCTTCATGAGTAAACTGTAAATAATTTTTTTTCTTCTCCTTTAAAAAAAATTGCTTCACTACTACATCCGAAATCACATGACCAATTAAAACACGCCTGAACATGGAGTACGTCAGAAAAGATTCGCTTTCCATCAAAAAAAGAAAAATGTCTCCTCAGCGGTTATCGGGTGGGTGTGTCTCTCACACAAACACACACTGGAAATCCTGTTAAAAAGTGAGAAGAAACGTGCGCTTTTATGACTACATTAATCTCGTATAGCAAGATTTATGTAAATCAGGAATTCCTTTCTACTCACAGTCTAACCAGTATGTGACCCAATTTTACGGCTTAAAAAAATGCTGGCATATTCTAATGGAAACCTCAAACCAAAGGGAACAATTATAATCACACCTCCCCCACATCTCCCCCCTCCCCTTCACCCTCAAGGAAATTTCAAAGGCCGGGAAAAGTGCTATTGGTCTAGTCGTCACACACAGCAAACAAAGACGACGTAAAGCGGGAAAGTGGAAACAATGCATCATCTGATCAACAGCCACTGTGTCTATGCTCTATGCTTTTCATCCTTCCTTATAGTTATAGTCAACGCCCACTTTTACCACTAGCAGCTTGTAAGAGGCTAAAAGTGTTGTTCCGCTCATCTACAAACAAGTACATGTACTTCTATGCTGGGCATTGGCACTCATATATTAATTAATTATGACCTTGTTGTGTTGCAAGTGCCATAGAAAACCTACCACAACCGAGGACCCTCTCCCTAAAAAAGACAAAAAACACCCAAAAACAAAAACAAAACAAAACAAACAACAACCCCCA